GATAGATAGATAGATAGATAGATAGATAGATAGATAGATAGATAGATAGATAGATAGATAGATAGAGAGAGAGAGAAATAAATCGATAAAAATTTTCTGATAAATCATTTTCTCTAAGGAAAAGGAAAACAGGCACAAACGTGTACAAAAGTTGAAAAATATATTTTATGTATATTTAAATCAGTTCAATTAAAACACATTATGAAAATTGAAATAAATTATAAAAATTAACATTAATTGCACGTTATCATAAATAAATGTATAAATATTGTGCGTCTAAATAACTTCCAGTCCTACAACACAAATTCACACCAAAACATACTCAAGTATAACACATGGTACAGGCAGCTTTCACAAATAAATAAGACAAAAAATAAATTAACAATCAATAAAAATTATAATAGAGCATATAGTGAATTTATATCAGTTTGACTGATGAACTCAAAGGGTTCTGTTTGATTTAAAGTTTCTTTGCAGTTTCTATGGTTCAAAAATCAATCTCTCTCATGTCAGTTGGTGTTCCAGCCCTCTCGTTTTCCACCTCTTCATCTTTCTCMGTGGGACCCCGCTGCATCTCACCCCTCAGCCGTTGTCGGAGGGCAAACTCGATCATCTCACTGTAACACTGCAGCACTGCCTGGAAGTTTAACAAAGGAAAAAACAAGAACATGKATTTTATAACAGATGCAAGTATTTCAGAGCGTTTAGAACCAGGTAAAAATCCTGACATCAAACAGGATTTCATTCTGTTTAGACCCAATAAGTGCAGGTGGACTAACCGGATCCGTCTGGCACAGCTCTGCCAGTGTTTCACCCACGACAGCCAGCTGAGAGGACCCCTTGTTGCCCAGGCCTCTCAGGGCACAGTCCAGTGACGCTGCAGCAACCACCGAGGGCGGGGTGCCCAGAAAACGAGCGTCACAGATGCACATGGCAGCCAGCGTGTCGCTGTGCCTCCGCAGGGTGGACAGCAGCTCCCGCTCCGAGTCTCCCCGCTCCTCCACGGAAGCAAGAAAGTGTGGAAGGAAGTCCTGGGGGGTCACTGCTGCTGTGTCCCACCGGAGTGTGGCGAGGACGACGCGCTCCATTTCCTYATGAGAGAACAGGATGAGTCGCTGAAGGGATGCTTATTTCTTTTAGTTCTACAAAAAGATACAAATCTTCAGATCTTCAGTCTGTAAGGAAAGTCATTAAGTAAACTTTATTTGTGATGAACTTTTCACAGTGAAGTAGCCTCGAAGTGCACAAAGCATAAAACAAACATTAAAACTCAGACAGCCATGTTTAAAAGCCTGCTTAAAAAGGTGAGTTTTTTTTTTATCTTTACTGAATCCACAGCTCTTAGAGGTTGAGGGAATATGTTCCAAAWTTTAGGAGCTACAACCTGAAATGCTCCATCCTCGCATGTCTTTAGTCGGGGCTGAGTTACGAGGAGCAGATTGGAGTTACTGGACCTAAACATAAATACAGGCACATGAAGCTGAAGCAGATCAGGTATATAAGTGGGGGATTGGCAATGCAACGCTCTGTGTAACAATACATCAATCCATATCGATACAATGGTTCATGATCCAATTATATCGAGGCAAAATGAAAATATCGATCTATATCATCATCATATGCTCGATGTAGATCAATATAATACGTGTTAGATGGGTGTATTATATTGCATTAAATCGATTGCAGACTTGTGAATCGAACTGAATCGAAATCGTGACAGACTTTGTTATCGAGAAATATCGAATCATCCAAACAAATTGATGTATCGTATCGTGATAAAGCTGGTGTTTGACACCCCTACACTGTAAATGATTTCAGTTGTTTTTACATTAAATTTACTGTATTTGCAACAGTACTTTACTGTAGAAACTGTTAACAGTAAGTTACTGTAAATTTTGTTGTTTTTATGTCAATATTACTGTATTGTCATCAGTAATGTACTGTATATGCTTATACAGTACATTACTGTTTTTGAACTAAGTTTTTTGAACTTTGAACTACTGTATCATGTTTTACATTAGTTTTATCGTAAAACTTACAGTAGTTTTACTGTAAAATAAAAATGCAGTAACTTACTGTCTTTAGTTTTTACAGTAATTTTACTGTAAAAGAAAATACAGTAACTATGTATTTACAGTAAAACTTCTGTAAAAAATACAGTAAGTTACTGGATAAAAATGGCCAGTAAGTTCCTGTAAATTTAATGATAAATCGTTTACAGTGTCAATCACTTCAATCACTTATAGATATAAGTGATTGATCAGGAAGCCAGTGGACAGAGGCACTAATGCACCCCCATACCATCAGAGAGGCAGGCTGTTGAGCTGATGACAATCCCTCTCCTCTTGTTTAGATTTGATTACCAGCTTTGTGAATAAAATCTGTATTTATCAGATTTGCATATCGTTACATTGCAGACAGCATCCAGTCCTTTTCATATTGAGGTCATAGATGAGGCTCCTAACCAGGGGTCTGCAGTTTTAKAGGACCCCCGGGGATTGTGGATTTGATGAACTCACCCTCAGCTCTGAGCTGTGGAAGCTGTACTCGGCTGCTGCACAGAGAGCGTCGGCCGGGACAGCGTCACTCTCCGTGAGCTTCGAGGCGATCAGGATGCAGCCGGCGGCCAGGCGGTARGGTGAGACCGACAGGGTCAGAGAGGCGGACAGGAACCTGTCCATCAGAGAGACGGACAGGGGGAAGACGGCCTCGTCACAGCCGCATTCGCAGCACACCTGCACAGGTAAGACAGAGGACGTCAACGTCGCAGCTGCTGGGGTGGACCCCCGGGTGGGCCATGAGGCGAGGAGCTGGAGTTGGTTTGTTTACCTCCAGGGCCCATTTGGTGAGCTCCTCTCGGTGTCCCGGGTCCCGCTGGACCAGGCTGATGTAGAGAACGGAGGGCAGGTACCGCTCCTCCACCTGCAGCAGCCTCTGGACGACTCGGCGCCCCGACACCGTGGGGTCCCAGGCGGCCCGAAGCTGAGAGGTGGTCCTGCCAGGACCCTGGACTCGGTCCTCGCTCTTCCTCTGCTCTTGACTCTGGTCGTCCTCCATCTCCTCYCACCAAAGAGACACAGTCAGTCCTCCGTCCATCAGCTGGGTACAAGTCCACGATAGACGGAGCAGACTCGTTCTTTCTGCAGCTGGTCCCTGCAGGAGGACTATCTGAGTGAGTATCACCCCCCCGCTTTTCTCTGTTTTATACCCAACAGGGAGGGAAAAGACCGAGGGAGGGACCAAGATAAAAAACACCACAAAAAAGGGGCAGAGACCCTAACGAGTGGCATGAAATAACACAAAAACAATAACAATACACAACAATCGCCTCAACAGGTGGGGAGAGGGACGGAGGGTGAGGGGAGAGAGAGAGGAGGGGTAGGGGAGAAGAACAGCAGACAAGAGA